TGCATATGACAAAAACCGAAATAGTGCATACATGAAAACGAACTTCTCGCTTAGGGATTATAACCCTTACTAAGTAGAATTCTCCTTTCTGTGTTGCCGGAAAAGGGGGCCGGAAGTATTTTTGCGCAGAACTTCTTTCTGCGTAGGCGGCCTTCGGCCGCGCTTAGGGATTATAACCCTTACTAAGTAGAATTCTCCTTTCTGTGTTGCCGGAAAAGGGGACCGGAAGTACTTCTTTCTGCGTAGGCGGCCTTCGGCCGCGCTTAGGGATTATAACCCTTACTAAGTAGAATTCTCCTTTCTGTGTTGCCGGAAAAGGGGACCGGAAGTATTTTTGCGCAGAACTTCTTTCTGCGTAGGCGGCCTTCGGCCGCGCTTAGGGATTATAACCCTTACTAAGTAGAATTCTCCTTTCTGTGTTGCCGGAAAAGGGGACCGGAAGTACTTCTTTCTGCGTAGGCGGCCTTCGGCCGCGCTTAGGGATTATAACCCTTACTAAGTAGAATTCTCCTTTCTGAGTTGCCGCAAAAGGGGACCGGAAGTATTTTTGCGCAGAACTTCTTTCTGCGTAGGCGGCCTTCGGCCGCACTTATGGATTATAACCCTTACTAAGTAGAATTCTCCTTTCTGTATTGCCGGAAAAGAAGGGCGGACGTATTTTTGTGCAGAACTTTTCTCTGCGTAGGCGGCTTTCATCCGCGCTTAGGGATTAAAACCCTTACTAAGTAGAAGTAAATAATTCATATTAGAAAAAACGAAATTATCCATATGCACACTTTCGTTAGAAAACCGAAATAATGCATATAACAAAAACCGAAATAAAGCATACATGCACAGTTTCGGATGAAAACCGAAATAATGCATATGAGAAAATACCGAAATTATGCATATGCATACTTTCGTTTTAAAAGCGAAATAATGCATATGAAAAAAAAACGAAGTAATGCATACATGCACAGTTTCGGTTTAAAACCGAAATAATGCATATGGTAAAAACCGAAATAAAGCATACATGCACAGTTTCTGTTGAAACCGAAATAATGTCTAAATGCACAGTTTCCATATGCGCAATTTCGGTGCCCCTTTCAGATATTTTTTCTTGACACACGCAGCCCATTTGCTACTTGGATACTTGAAATTCGGTTAGTGCTACCTGGCAAGGGAGTCTTCATCAGTATTTCGTGTTCGATTCTAAACTAAAGGCAAAGGGTGAGAAAATTGTGTGTTCGTTTCTAAAAATGTCCCACTCTTGTAAGGGAAAAAAAGCACATTTTCTGTCCTTTCAAGCTTTGTCAGGGGGGATGACTGCCCTGAAAATCAGATGGTTGTTTAAAACGACAATAACTATATATTATGAAATGCGTAAGTTAGATAAAGACAAGAAGACGAAAACATGCCCAACGTTTTTTTTTAAAGAAACGACACCACCATTAGTTCTCCGAGGTCAACGTTACAGCAACCCGGCTTGAGTTAGGCTGGAGCTTGCCAATGGTTATGGCTAATACTAATCGCATAAATCACCAAACGCAAAAGTGAAAGGAAATGCGAGCGCCTTTATATGCCGTTATACTCCTTTTTTGGGGTTAATTTAATTAATCCCAAAAATCGCTAAGTATAATTGATATATTTTTTTTGGTTTTATTTGTTGGCTTTCAGAGGGTTCGGGTTCGAATGCCGTCAGAGGCCACAATTGTTTATTTTTTTGTATCTTGTTTTTTCTTAATTACGAAAGAGCATCTGTGAAGTACAGAACACGATCAAACGAAGAAGAAAATTTATTCAACTTCAACATTTAAAGACACAGATGCTTGCTGGTGTTTGCTAACTCTCGGAAGATCCGGGTTCAAGTCCCGTCAGAGGCAATATGTTAAAATCATAATAAAAATGTTTGGTTTTGTAACTCCGAATTATGAAAAAGCATCTGTGAAGTGCAGAACATTAGCGGCTTCAAACGAAAAAGTCTGGTTAATATGAAAATATCAACCATGGCATTGTTAAATTTAAACAAAAATCTTTTTGCTTCTCTTTCACGTTTGAATTTGGTAACTTTTGTTACTTTTTTTTTTTCGGCGTATACATATGTAGTGACAAACGAATTCGTTTACACCTGGTATTTCTACTTTATTTAATTTTTAACCATAAAAAACCTAAATCAACATTCGTGCAAAAACAATTAATTTAAGTGAAAGTTTAAAGGCGCACTTGCATAATGAAACCAATCGTAAAAAATCCACGCCTTTTACCCCTTTTATTTTGGCCCCTAAAAACTCGACATTTGGTTAGGTGTATGAAAAGCATATTGTAAAGCACATTTGTACACATTTTTGGTCGCTTTGTGGTGCAATGGGTCGAACCCCCGGCAAACTAAGCAAACCGAAAACATAAAATCTAACTTACACTCAAAGCAATTACATAACAAACATTAAGATAAACAAACGCTTTTAACGAGCACTGAGTTGCCAATATGCCAGCAGACTGGCTTTCCAAAAAACCAACCCTTCACAGATGGCAAATGTGTATAGACTGAGCTCAACCCAAGTGTCGATTCCAAATGTGAATGATAGAAGTTGTTTGAAGTAAGGCACACGAAATTGAATGTAGCACAAAGAACTTTTGATTACAGGTAGGCGAATTGCCTTAATAAAACTAAGTAAAACATTTCGACTTGGTTTTTACTCCACTTCCTTTTCATTTGCTGGCTAAGGCACTTGCACGCTTTTATGTAATACATATAAAATTTACCTACTTATACACATTTACAAACCCAAACTCTTTATTTAGAAATTACTTTAGTATTTGTAAAGCATTTATTTGTAACAGCAGCAGCACTTGTCTGCTGAAATAAGTCCCTGGAGTGTACTTATACGCAGTGCACACTTCAACCTACTAACCACTTGAAATGTGTTCAATGCCCTTTCACTGTGTACATTGAGCCGCCTTCATCGAAAACCATCCAACGTCTACATATCTTTCTGGCTCGTTGCAGTCATTTGCTAAAACACTTAAGTTTCCTGACAATTAATTTATTAAATTTACTGACTCACAACACACAGACACACACACACACACACACACACACACACACACACAATTACGCATACACATATACATAGTAGATATATGTACTTTCTAGCAGCCTTATCCATCCATATCCGCCCCTTGTTGGCGCC